GGCTCATACGTCCCAGAAGAACGCATGAATTGTAGGGGGAGGAGAGCACCCCCAACAAAGTTGTAAGCTAACCATTATGGCTGTCGAGGAGAAGTGTTTTTACCTCGTGCCGTAGACGAAGGACATCTCGTGTCGTACCCTAAGTGCGATAGGTTGTTGGTCGATCGCACAGGTGCCACGGCCTTGGGACAAAACGAAGGGATCGGTGGCCACGCACCGACGTGTGTCTCTTTGTGTGTGCGACGATAGACAGATGCCGCTGATTCTCTTCGACACGTGCTCTCCTACAGCACAGGGTGGGAGACAGACATTGCGTGTCTGCTGGGTCGACTGCCAACATTCACCAGCGACAACCCCGTTGGGCCATCCAAGAGAAACATTGGCTTCATCCGGCAAATTCGTGGCCGACACAAAAAATATGTACTTCCATACATCATGACCAAAATGTCCAGTCCTGCCAACTGTCCAACGAGCAACTCGTTAAAACCGACTGATGCATTGTACACACATGTTGATAACAAGGCGTTAAAACCGACTGATGCATTGTATAGTCCGTGCACAACAATTTGTCCAATTACGTTTTGTGCGATAACTTCGTTTGGAAAAAGAATTGGAACGTGAAACAACGATAGTCGTGACCGCCTCGTCGAGATACGTCGATAGCTGCAGAGTTTTTTTTTTTTTTGCGACATGCAACATTTTTGACAAAAATCACACACGGAGCCCCCACACACGACATACCCCTTTATTCATTCACGGAACCCCTTAACCGTGCCCCCGAAGAGCCCTCTTGCCCCTCTACCACCTGCTCTAAATACACCACGACACCCCCTGTTTGCATTTGTACAGATACTAATCTATGCCACGCTTGCTCGACAACACCCTCAAAGGTCAAGCACGCCAATGTATACACACACGTGAACGAATCTCCACACTCCGCACTCCGCACAGTGGTCTATAGACTACACGTAAACAAAAAAAAGACATCACTACACTATACGAAACAGCATGCACTAAACTAAACAAAACCTCGGGAGCAGTCAGCCCTTTGTGGGTGCTAAAAAAAAAAAATAAAGATCTGGTTTGCGCACGTAAAGACACACACATCACGACGCAGTGTTGTCGGCCTCCTTCTCTTCTCCTCCCTGCGCCATGGCGCGCTTCCTCTTCCACTTCTTGAATGCCCTTTTCGCCCTCCTCGTGGAGAAGGTTCGGCATTCCTGTGAAGCCGCCAACGCCTTCGCCGCCGCGGCGTCCTTTTCCGCTTGTGTCCCTCCCCCCCCCGTGGCCTCCACGACTACACTACTCATCTATGCTAAGCCCATGGCCTGAAGCTATCGACATGTTGCCGATGCTGCCGACGCTGCCGTTGCTGCTGCGGCGCAACTCCGAAACGCCGCCGCCGCCGCCGGGAGAGCCTGTGTGCGACTCAACCTCTAACACCGCCGCTGACTTCTCTGCTGGGTCAACCTCGCCACTGGCAGAGGAGCTCTCCTCCTCTTCCTGCTCCTGCTGCTGCTGCTGCGACTTCCGGATGAACGCTCCCATAGCTCGTGCCAAGCCTACTGCTTGTTGCTGGAGAAGTTTTTTTCTGTTGCGAAATTGTTGACTTCTCGACAGCACACCCAGCGGATTTTTTTTCGACGCACTTCTTGCATCGCGACCTGCGGACGCCACCGACCACTTCGCAAAACTCAGGATCGACTGACCTCTACCATTGCTGTGTGCGCCGCTGGTATCCTCATCGCACCAGTCCTCGTCGTTACCATCCTCGTCTGCCGCCGCCTTGCCTTCTTCCTGATCCACGTCCATCAAATCGGCGCTGTCGTGGCCGTCGGAGAGCGCATCACCAGCGCCGCGTGACGGAAGATCATGTTGCTGCGCCGGCTTCGGTTTGTTCGGAACCGCCCGGCCATCGGCTCCGCGCTTGCCGATTTTCTTCTCCTTAGGCCGTGCCATGGTGCTTGCTTGCTTGCGTGCGTGTCTCGTGCTGTTCGGGCCGCCACGTGTGCCAGTTTGTTGTGGGAGCGTCTTGCCCAACAGCGAAAAAATCTCCGATAGCACGGCACGACAAAATGTGGAATATCTCGAGAACCAGAGTTTTCCCGGGAAAATCAAAAATACCCATCTAGAGACTGATGAGAGGAATCGTTTGCCGCTGTTTAGACTGGAATCGGTTGGTTAGTTATTGTGCTGTAAACGAAACAACTTGACCCTCTAGATCCATTTTTTCCTGGATATCTCCTTCAATTCCAAGAGTTAGAAAAAATAAAAAAATACCCATGTGCGGAATTCCGAGATCTGTCCAAATCCGTTGAGTTTTTGTGAATCGGCAAAAAACCCCACCCCCTGAAAACGAAACAACTTTTCCCGGTTTTTCGGAAGTAAAAAGTCGAGGAAAAACAAACAAACAAAAAACTCTCCGTCGCGCCCTGCGCCTGGAAACAGGGCGTTTGCCGGTACTTTCAGATTTTCGAACAACCACCTGTGTGCAGGGACAAGTTGCATTGTGCATGGGAAATTATTGGACAAATTGTTGTGTGCACGGACCGTACACACATCTTGATAACAAGGTATTGCCGCATCACCACAACAGCGCGTGACCGGGCAGTGTAAGCCACCACGCCATGAACACAGCAGCGACTTACACTTTTCGTCCATGGTTATGTGTGCGATCGCGTACCAACACTGAAGTAAGAAATGAAATCCACCAACCGGAGCTTTCGAAGTTAATTCGACACACCTGCTCCAAGGCGCTCGCCAAAGCCTTCTCGTGCGCGAGAGCCCGCTCCTGCGCAAGGCTCGCCTTCTCCTGCATGGAGCACGCCTCCTTCTCCCTGACCTCCGCTGCCGCCAGGAGGTCTGAGCTTTCCGCCTCCAGGTGTCTTATTTTCTCGTGGGCCACTTTTATGCTGCCGCCGGCCGGCCGCAAGTAACATTGAGGCCGAGAGAGGGAGAGAGAAGAGAAAAACAGGGAGATAGAAGAGGGAGAGAGAGGAGAGAACGAGAGACAGAGAGGGAGAGAGAGAGAGATAGAGAGAGAGGGGGGGGGGGGGGGGGGGGGGTACTCATAGTCGTGCATGCCGTAGTCGTTAGACCATTGACCTCGCATCCCTACAAAGCCGGGACGGAGCACGCCGGGTTCTCACCGGACTAGGCTCTCACATCACCANGTTCTCACAGAACCGATCACCGATGGCCAATCGTTCCTCTCTACTTTGCCAAAGGTGACTCAAAAAAGGGGGGGGAGGGGGGGGAATAAGGGAGGGAGATAGAGAGCGGGACGTACGAAGTACGTGACACGTGCAAACATCGAAGTAATCGCGTCTTTTCGGTGTATTCGAGGATCTCTAGTGCTGCCTACAAGTCGTTTCAGCTGAAAGGGGGGCTAGTCAAAAAGGACGATTTTTCGCCGCTCATTTATTTTCTTTGTTCGCTTGAAGGGGGAGGGGGTCGGTGCCGCGAAGCCTTGGGTGATGGGTACGTTGTTTGGAGTGAGGGTCTATTCTTGGTCTTCTTGCGTGAGAAGCGGATAGAAGTTCCTTCTTCAGTACATCATGCACGCACGAGACAAAACAACGTGTCCGACTCTAGGAAGTACATCATGGGTCGTGCCCTGTTTTTATTTTGCATTTTTGGAATTCTGCCGCAGGTTTGTTGACCAATCAGCGAATTGCGTGCCACAAATGTTGCTCCCTCATGAAAACGTTGTTTGTATGTGTCGTTCTGGAACTTTCGCAAAACTCAAGAGGCGAATACTGACAGTCGAAACAGGTCAAAACCCGGCGGAACCGCGGGGATCTCTGTGCCAGGCAAGAGCAGGACAAAAAAAAAAGGCGGGCCAATCACGAGCCAAACTTCAGCAGAAGCGGTGCTTACGGTCCAAGCCAAATATCATCCATAGTCCTATGTAGGGCTTGGTCTCACTTTTCCTCACACAGCCTGCGACTTCCCTACACAAACTTATGAAGCCAGCAGGAGCCTGCATCGATCTGGGTTCCGGCGGTTTGTATCTGGGCTGGGGAGGGCGGAGGGGCGCGCGGTCGTGAGGCGATATTCAGGCGATGGGTTGCTTGGCCGCTTGGAATCACCGGACACATCTCCACAGCCTGGTTGGTGCTTGATGTCCCCCACACCATAACAACCGCGATCTGCACCAGGTTCTCTGATTGTGGCGATTCACAGTTCTCATCAAACGCGGTGACGAGCGGAATCGCTACCAGAGCACCTGGTGCAGATCGTGGTGGTTGAGGCGCGGGGGAGAGCCAGCACCAAAGAGGCTGTGGAGATGTGTCAGGCGAACCTCAGCAACCCATCGCGTGACTTCGACGCACGAACTTGCGCCCTGCCGCCCGCCCAAGTGTCGCTGAAACCCAGCGTCGTTCAAAACCCTATTCACCGTCTCAGCGCCGCCGAATCGTTTGAGGCCGTTGATCATGAAACTTCGCAAAAAAAACAACTGCCGAGCACGGACACTAACACGCCAAACAAAAAATACCATCGTGGTACATCGCGACAGCACCGCTACCCGACACAGCAACGAAGACTACCGTGAGTCATCTCAAGCAAACCACGTCGTACGGCACGCGAGGATACAGATCCCAAACGTTCTGGAATGAATTCGCCTTGAACCGAACCGAAGCCGTGCCATCCGAAAGCGGGAGGGTGTTGCGCCAAGCTCGTTGTACACCTTATCCGTGCCAAACTGATGTTCGACGTCGAGAAGAGTAGACCAAATCGCTCGGTACCTTTGCCACTACCATGGAGCTGAGTACGTCCGCATACATGACAGGCATTGAAGTCATGGAAGTTCTTTGATCACCATTACGACAGTCGCTTTAGCGACGATCACAATCGTAGCAGCAGCCAAGAAGACCCCCCTCGCGGGGCCACCTTCAATTCTACTAAGAAAACAACAACGACCTTATGTAGCAGCACTTATCTCGCGGTTAAAAAGATTGTTCCTTGCGAGATTTATTTAGGTGATATCCAGCAAATAACTCTTCAGTGATTCCTACGCGGGTTGGACAAATTTTGGATCACAGCAACAGCGAGGGCTATTGACGAATGAGAGAGGGCACTCGTGGGCGCGGCTCCGCATCATCATTGGGACGAAAAAGATAGTCTACAACAAAAAGGCCAATTATTTTTGTGGGGCCTGCAACCAATCTGCGTGAACCTATCTTTAGCTTCAGCATCGACCGCGCTAACCAGCTCACCAATGAAGAAACGGTGCGGGACAAAAACCGCGAACAAGATTGCAAGTCATCGATCGCGCTCCCGCGGGCAGGGGGGTGGGGGTGCGGAGGTGGCCAGCGCCGGGTTCGAAGCACAAGGAGAAGACTCAACACCACCTTCGAGAGAGAGAGAGCAAGTGCTACTGCGATATCATTGACAGCCTGCAGTGGGTTGTTGCCATTTCTGTTTGTTGTGTGCATGTGCGTGGGTCACCATAAGATACGCGATTCGGCGGAAAAACCACCAGATCTCGCCACTCACGGTTGCGCAGGCAACGGCTAGACGGTAACAGGTGTAGATTGCTGCAGAGAGAGAGAGAGAGATTAATAGACACCACGTTCACAGGAGCATCTTGACTTCCGAAACAATTGTCGCCGCATCTTGGCCTCGAAAACAATTGTCACCGGATTCATAGATTAATAATAATGATGTAGCCTCCCGCAGGCGGTCCGGTGGTTGTGTGTGGGGGGTGTTATCTTGTGTCGTGCGCGGTGGATCTCTCTCGCTCCACAACTGATGCGCCAATAACGCGGCGGAAGGGGCAAAGGGGGGCGAGAGAATCCCTTACTTTTCGGAGAACATTCCACCAGCTCTCACTACATGCATGTCTGCTGTATCACGAGCTCTACCACAATCTCCCCTTCCTCCTTGCGCGCCAAATAGACACCAATAGACACCACCACATGCGTGACCGCGCGCGGTTGTAGTCTCCAACGGCATCTCGCGAAAACGTTCGACATCGCGATACTTGTTGTATCCATCAAGCTGTCCATGAGCACAACGTCGATCTAAATACTGCTGCCGTTGAGACTCCATGCACATGCCATAGCAGAGTGCTGCCTTTCTTGACGTCCATCTCTCACTAACCTGGTATCTCGCTTCGCAAGCTCCGATTTGATCGATTGCAGGTCCCCCTCGAGCGCGATGCACCTCGACTCCGCAGCCTGTTTCCCCATGTGAAGCCATTCTTCCTGTGCCCCTCTCCCGCCTGATACCTCTCCGCCGCCACCATCACAGCAAGTGTCTCCCTCTCGCCGCCCCTCCCTTTCTCCTCCTCCTCCTCCTCCTCCTCCTCCTCCAACACCTTCCCCTTGTTCTGTTGTCGCTGCTGCTGAACGCCCCCCCCCAGTGGCCGGTGCACTGGGTGTTTCGCCTGCTGCACGTACACTCATGGTCGATTGCTCCGCGTTCATCCCCGGAACGAACGCTGCTGCTGCTGCTGTGTTGCTCTCTTTCCCAGCCCACCTTCTCTACCATTCCCTCGCCTCTCTCCCTCCCTCTTTCTCTGGGTCTCTGGCTACGCTTGTTGTTATTCCCCGCCGCGGCCCCCTGCCCAGCCTCCAGCAGGTGTCGTGGTTGCACAGCGGCGGCAGTGTATCAAGTAGTTACAGGACAAGAGTAATAGCTGTGTGGGTACGGAAGATTTTTCCACAACGATTCCGCGGGGCCCCTAACAGTCTCTCCGACGGTCGGGGCAGCAGGCAGGCATGTGAAATCGGACCACCCAGCTTCATCTTCTCCTGTGTGGCTTCTTGGGAGGTTTTGTGCGTCTCTCACAGCATCTGACCCACCCGAAACGACAAGTGATACACGTTCATTCCCTTGTCTGCATCTTTAGCCTGGACGAGCGAGGTGCACAACAGCAGCAGTGTCTCTCCGTCTGATAATCCATCCTCTCTGCACGCTGCACCGGCCATGATGCGGCAGCGCCGCCGCTCGAAGCTTGAGGAGGGTCGCCTCGCGGGTGCGTCTGTATGGTCTGTGCGGCGATATGTCCTGCTCACCGCGGTGGCCGTGATCTCCCTCGCCCTCCCAGCGGCGCTGACGTTCCGCCCGTCAGCAACCAGGCGGGGCGGAGGGAAGAGAAAGGCCAATGTTGACCACGATGCTTGGCTGGGCATAGCACCGGGGATAGCGGCGAAGCCGGCATCGGCGGACGACATCCATGTGGTGTTCTCGACGGACTGCTCGCCCTACCAGAACTACCAGGCCATCATGCTGTTCCACAGCGCAGAGGTGATATCCTCATCCTTGATGATTATTCACAGCAGCAGTAGTATAGCTTTACTCCATCGTTGTTCCGCCCATCTACGACTGTAAGCATATGTATGCAAGCCCTCTTTGCGGTGGGAGCTACCGCTGTGTAGCGCTGAATTGTACTTCTAAATAGCGTGTGCATTATCCTCTCTGCACGACGCCCGGTATCCAGCGGTAGGTGCCTCTATTTCTCTACCCTGTCTATCCGCAATGACCTATGCATATCTCGAACGGATTGTGCGCGTGATGCTGCTTCCCCATAATATATACTCTAGTAATATTTAGTGTTCATTTTTGTTCTGACTCCGTACACACACGCTGCTGCCGCTCCATCCTGAAACCGATTAATTCTTATAGACTAGAATTCTATACAGTCAATGCATTGCAGTCCACAGCAGTCTTTGCTGCATACAGTTCAAGTACAACACAGAAGAGGAAGGTCACACAGGAGTTATTTCAACGTTGATTTTCCTTTGGTTTTTGTTTCATCGACCCACATTTCCCCCCTGCGGTGCTGACGTGCTTACCTTACTATTATACCCGCCAGCGGTTCAGCCATCCCTTCCCCTCGTCGACCGTGAAGTTTGTTTACTCACAACAGAGTACGTCGTAGATCGCTTTCAACCGCAGGTTGCTGGAAAGAAATCCTGGGAAAGAAATCCTCCGGGGAGAAAATCAAACCCACAGCCTGCCGCTAGGGAGTCGTTCAGCATCATCCACCTACACCACCACTACTGTGTAGCTCGAATGCGCTGTCGTTTTTTTTTCTTTTCAAGTTGCCAATAATAGACCATGTTGAACGTGGAATAAGGTCTCTTCAGTGGCAATTGAGCGCGTTTAGGATGTGTGAGATCACTCTCGGGCATGCTACTTGTTTCGCTTTCACCCGCGGATCGTTTGGATCAATTTTATTTTAGTGTACCTTTTTGGGGTAAGCTAGCCTGTGACCACGGAATCGACCGTGTCTAGTATTTGACTACCGTAATTGTGCGTGTTATCGCACCCCCGTGTCAGCGTTTTTCTACGGCGTATTTCTCCACAGCCAGGGATGTATTACCTCCGAAAAGGGTGGTTTTGGGAACATCTCGTCGAGGGTTCTCCGGCGAGGTATCAGTTGGTGTTCGCACCTTCCTAGTTGTAGAGAAATACGCCACACTAAAACGCTAACACGAGGGTGCGATGACACGCACAAATACGGTACTGTAGTACGGACAGAAGAATGTCCTGGGTAGCGAGAACGAAACGGTTTTCAATGTGAAGACAACATCAACAATTTGCGAATTTGTAGGTTTGTCACCCCATGGGGATTCGAAATCACGACTTTGCCACTAGCGGTTTCGAGGTGCTACCACTATTTAGACCACCGGGGCGACCGGCTCAAGGTGTGTTGAACAAAAAACTCTGACGTCCCGCAGAAAGGTGCAAACTATGCTGCTTGCTTTGAACGTGCACAAACCGCGGGCTTGTACGAGCAAGCGACGCTGGTGGTGGTTTATTTGCTGCTGTGTGTGCTACATGTTCAGCTCAAACCAACCGTGCTAACGACTTGATGGAACGTGGTGGTCTCCACGTCTGAATAACGTTTCTCGGAACATCTTGGGTAGGTAGGTGCAGCCCTACACGACAACTTAAATAGCTTGTCACCGTAGCACCCCTCACTCACAGTGGACACAACGATGCAGGGTCTTGCAAGTGTAGCCTACCAACTCAAGGAAAATTGTTCCCGAAATATGTGTTTTTAGTGAGAGGGACAGGACAAATGCGTGGATGTATGTATGTATATACGGTGCAATTATTTTTACGGAAAACGGAGATCTCAAATCCCAGTTAACCCGGAATCTCCTTGCCCGCTGGGAAGACCCAGCGAGTTATTTTGGCTGGGATTTGGGTTTGGGGTCGTGCTTGGTCGTAAACTTGGGATACACAGCAGCATGTTGCGATATATCCTGGGTCCGGCTGGATTTGAATTATTGACAAAAAGTATTTGGACAAGTGTAGGGGAACAATGATCTGTTGTTGCTATAATGGACGACGACTTAGAGTATCGACATCCCTTGCCAGGGACAAGGTACTTTGAATGGTTTCTATCGATATCCATTGTCAGAAACCATAGATTTTCAAAGGCTGTGTGGACATGCGTTGTCAACCGCAACAATTTTTGCGAAGATTCCTCGATATCTGTTGTATCTGGTAGGCGAAAAGACATAGAATTTCAAAGGTTCTAGCGAATGGCGATATGATGAGCCGCGGAGCGCGACGCGTGACGTTTTTTTCCTTTCATCCCACGAGGGAATTAACGGGCTCCAAGGTTGTGGCGAGGCCGCCGACAGAATTGAGGACAGCCGAAACGAGAATGCACCCCCCCCCCCCCCCCCCCCCCCCCCCCCCCCCCCCCCCCCCCCCCCCCCCCCCCCCCCCCCCCCCCCCCC